CTCAGAGTTTGTAAGACAACTCCCACCTGTTCATGCTCTCTGTATGTGTGTATATATTTCTCCTCAATATACGTTTCACTCTATATGCATCCGAAGAAGTGGGTTGTAGCCCACGAAAGCTTATGCTCTAATAAATTTGTTAGTCTCTAAGGTGCCACAAGTACTCCTGTTCTTTTTGAGGATACAGACTAACACGGCTGCTACCCTGAAACCTAAATACTGAAAATTCTAGCCTTAACTTCTAATGCCCGAATCTACCAGTGCCTGCAACGGAGTAACTACAAAAATAGACTCTTACGGAAAGAAACCCCTTAACATTCTAAGAGTCAGGGGTATTTGGCAAGATTCAGTTAAGGTTAAAACCCTTGAGAAAAAGGGATATTCTGATACTTACGAAGAGATTGAGTCAAATCAGACTTGCCCAGTGCACAGCAGAGAATAAGTCGACAGAAGTGCTTAAAAGAGCTCCCAGTTGCGAGTTCTTTTATATGGTTTTGCAGACTGCCTGCAGGATGAGAGACATCTTTTTTGCATAAGGTCCTAATTAATTACTAAATTAAATTTTCATAGGCATAACTCTTCCATTTGATGCTATTCTTTTACTGTGGTTATTAGTCTGTTTTCCGCCCCAGTGTTCATGACACACCCTGCAGCTTCCTTTCATTTGAAAACTTTATTGGCCAATGATACTTGGCATCATTCCTCTGATCATGCTGGAGTTACTGCAGGAATGAATCTTGCTCCATGTTTTAGATGAATAATAGAAAAGTGGCTCAGAGAGGTGTATGGGTAGAGCAATCCGATGTCGTGCAAGATTCCATTTTGGTCCTTTTAATCCTGGCTTGTAGCTAGTTGGGAGTATTGGGGAATTTACCTTTGCAGTTCTGGGGCAGATGGGAGTCTTTGCATGCTTAGCGGTCCCATCCTGCAACTACTCACTCTGCATGAGATCCAATGATCATTAAAGTCAATGGGAGTCTTTCCATTGACTTCAATGTGGGCTTCAATTCAAGCCCTTGGGGTTGAAATTCACTCCTGAAATGAAGGCCAACACAATGCCTATGTCCTATTTAAGAACCCACACAGGAAAATAAGACAAAAACACCCTATCATCGGTGGGTGAACGCTTTTCACACAGCGATTGCTCTACATCTGACCTCTCAGTCCTCATCCTCAAAGGAAACCTGCACAATGCCTTCGAAAGACGAGCTTGGGCTCTTACATTCATAACTTTGCTAGACACTAAAAATCATGGTCTTAATAAAAACCCTGGATTTATGGCTTATTCCAACAATCTGTAACCCACTAACCCCCCTTCTTTGTCCTATTACTACAGGGGTGTAAATGGGCCACTTCCCCTTGAAGTGTCCCATAGAATATGTGCTAATTAGTTATGCTAAACAATCTGTCACAGCTAAATACAAGATGGGACGCTCTTGGTACCTTTCCCAGACCTGAAGAAGAGCTCTGTGTTGCTCGAAAGCTCGGCTCTTTCACCAACAGAATTTGGTCCAATGAAAGATATTACCTCACCCTCCACTGATATCCTGGGACCAACATAGCTACAATAACACTGCATTAACAAAGTGCTGTCCTCCTCCATTTAACATAGGAGGAGGCCGAAGAGGAGAGGTTATTGCTTTATACAAAATCATTCAAAATGTCGGTGGCCAAACCCAAGGCCAAGGTGTTCAAAAGTGACTGATGGCTTTAGGTGTCTAGCTTGAATCACCTCAAAGGAGCCTGATTTTCAGAAAGTCCTGAGCACCTGCCCTCTGAAGATCATGACTCTTTAAAATGTCGCACGTTGGTTGCCCACGATTGCTAATTACTTTTGAAAATCATGGCCTTTCATTCTCCAAGCCTTCTGCCTTAATCCCCAAGCCATCTTTCCTCCCCCTGTCTTTACATATCAGAGCTAACTCTGGAGGGAAGCAGGAGATGATTGAAGGTCCAGGAAGCTATACGCTGTAGGCAGGTGAGCCTGCAAAACAAATGTGCAAACATGCCTGAATGACACAGAGGCTGTTTTTTACACCCCAGAAAGGGGAGAGAACAGGTCACTGACAGATGGAACATCCTAGGAAAACCGACTTTGAAATACAGCCTAGATCCTCAGCTGGTATAAATCAGCGAACTGTGATTGAAGTTGATGCACGGGTGCTGATTCACACCAGCACAAGATCAGGCCTCGACTTTTTTAAAGTTACTGCTTAATGAAAATCAAATAGCCCCAAATTCGGAGGCTATAAATCATGAGCTGATCTGGGGAGCGACGTGAGACTTTGACATGACTCTTTTTTTGAAGTGACGCTAATATTCAGTCCATGAGTAACATGTTACTTCAGTAACACGCTACTAACATTATAATAATACAACACTTCGCACATATGAAACAGCAATGAATATCTGCAAAGAGACTTGAAATCCTTTGTGCCGATGATACCTCAGAATAACCTACAGCCATTATTCTTATAAAAAGACACACAAAGGTGAATGTCATACAGGGAGGGAGAGGCACAGCCAGAAACAGGACCCAGGTGTTCTGAAGTTCTTTGTTCCAGCTCTTGGTGCAGCCCCATATTACACTGTGTCACAAGAGGGCATTAGCAACACGTATTATTAAATAGTGCTTAACATCCTTGGCTTCCAAATGTGTCGCTAACATGAGAGGAGTTGTTAGAGACGCTTGTTTGGCTGTGCTTGTGAAATTCTGAATGACTCAGATTTGCTGGGTGCATCTTTTGCCTAAACGCTGCCATACGAGAGCATGCCCCGGGCTACTGTAGCTTTGCTGTTTGTAGTTACACACGAGGGAAATGATTCTCCCAAAGAGAGACCAAGGCCTGGTTTTCGTACTTGTTCATTGGTGGTGTCGCTTGGGTAATCTCAGTACATAGCCTGGAATTTTGGTAACACTATCGGAGTCTCGCTGCGTGGCTTATTTTCTATTCTACATCAAAGAGGGCTTAGAAGGGGTTCAGAGATGGGTGACAAGAATGATTAGGAAAAACTCTCATAGGAAACGCTTGGGGTTGGTTACCTTAGAAATAATAGAACACTAACGTTTTAATACAGTGGTGCCCGACCCTATGATACAGCCAGGCCACGTAAGCCGAAACACAGCCTTGTGTGGGCCAAATAAATTCTCCATATTTTAATAAGATGTAAAGTCATTTATATTTCAAGTTCAGCTTGTTTTGTTATGTATTTAGACAGGCTGTTTCTATGTACAGTATTGTCTATTTACACACTTGTGTAAACTAAAATGATGTAAACATGACAACAAAATGCTCATAAATCGTCTGTTGTGTCGAAGGAGGCTGCAGGCCTTATGAAATGCTCTGGTGGCCATAGGTTGGACCCCCCTGTTCCAATAGACTATATCTGATGAGAAAACTGTTTGAGGCCAACGTAGGAGGTGTGAACCTCACCTTGTGACCAATTTCCCAGAGCTTCAGAGGTTTTCCCTAGTAAGAAACATACTTTGTAGCCTCAGCAGGACCACAAGGTGAGCAAGGAAACCAAGTTTCCATTTCTTTTCTGATACAGCGCTGTGTATTATTCCATCCCTTCACCGAGGAGGAAATCATTTTCATGACAACTCATATTTTTTATATGTTCAAAATACTACAAAAATACCAACTAATTATTAGATCTGGTTGGAAAACATTGGTTGGAAGCGTTCTCCCTTGGAAAAAAAATTGTTTGGACAAGCCCCTGTTTGGGACCAAAAAATATAAATAAATCTCCAAATTTTCATGAGATGGAAAATTTATTTAAAGATTCATCTTTATAGGATGTCAGATATGTGGGCGATGTTGCCTTCCTTTGAGAGACGACTGACTCTCAAACTGCCGAGGGTTATTGCTGCTCGTGCTGCTGGTCCTAGAGCTCCTGAATTTAGCTGCCCCAGAGCTCGATGTTACTCATAAAGTCAGACAACAGGCTTGGTTCGGTGGTGAAGGCACTCGTCCAGGGTTATTGTTGGCAGAGCAGGGTCCTAGTGCCCTGGCTTAGTGGTTACAGGTACGCCCCCGACAAGGTACCACCTCAACAATGTTCCTCCTATGACTTCTCCTTTTATACACTGATACAAACAAGTTTTGTGTTACGCTCCAGATGTTGTTAGTTAGTTACCCTTGTACTTGCTAGTTCAAACAGAACATCCTCATCCGTTATCCTGTCATCCTTCCTTATCTTACCAGGGGTCTATGTGTCCCTGTACCATCTTCTAGGAATGTATTTACTTAGTTGAGAACTCTGGGTGTTTCTGCACCATCCTCTAAGGTCAGGAATGTGCTTACTTGGTTGGCTAATACCTGGTGTGTTGCTGTTTTGCCAAGGCCCGGCCTACTCTGGTTCACAGCCTTTGGTTCACACTGTTAGTTATGCCTAGGGCTCCAGCAAGGCCTACACTGGAGGCATGCCTAGCTTTGGTTTTATCACCATTGATCTTACGTAGGAAATCAGTATGATCAGCTCCATTTTACAGCTGGGGAAACTGAAGTACAGGGAGAGGCAATGACTTACCCAAGGCCACCTGGCAGGCCAGTGGCAAAGGCGGGAATAGGATCGAGGTCCCTGGTGTCCCAGTCCAGTGTTCTAGCCACTAGTTTTCCATGGCTTGAGAGAGCTCCCCCCCATGACATGACGTATTTTATAGCGTCAGGAGGGTGACAAGGTGAGCTAGAAAAACAAGTTCATCATTCCCCTCTGATATGGTGCTGTGCGTTAGGCCATTCAATAGCAGGTGTGGAAATAAGTTTATTAGAACTCCTATTATTTTACACATTTAAAATGCTGCAGAAAACTTTTCGAATGACGCCACATAGCTCCTCTGGGATGCAAGTAACTCTTTTGTTCCCTATTCTACCAAAAGGGGGAGCTGAAGCCCAGGGGGGGATGTGAATTTCACAAAGTCACGCAATAAATCACTGGCGTAACTGGGAGGATAAATCACAACTTCTGGACTCTTCAGACCAGACTGCTCCGGAGGAAATGCCATAATGTTTTTCTGCTGGGTTGCAGATTTTAATCCTGGGCTGTAGGATTTGTTTAAAGGGAATACAGCTCTAGCCTTAAATACTAGATCCTTGATATGGCCCCATCCTCTCGAGGGTAGGAATATTATTATCCTTGTTTAATGTGCAAATAAAGAGATGCAGAGGCAGGTGACAGTTATACAGGGAGTTCATGTCAGAGCTGGAAATACAACCCAATAGTGCTGCCTCTTTGTGCCACATGGTAACCACTACTCCTGGCCCCATTACGTTGCATTACAAGACTACACCAGTAACATGTCTCATGGTACTTAACATACTTGGCTTCCGAAAATGTCATTAACATCAGAGTAATTCTTAGAGACTCACTGAAGTTGGGGTGGGTTTTTTTTGGTGTGTTTTTGTTTCTGCTTTCAGAAAGGGGTGTACACACACACACACACACACACACACACACACACACACACACACACACA